GTAATTATTATTTGTTAAAAATATAATATAATATAAATTAATATATAACATTAAAAAAAAGACATAATATTACATTTTATTGAACATTATTGGCTTAATAAATATGAAACTTAAATCGAATAAAAATCTCGGGATCTCAACGTCGGTAACCTTTTATGACCTTATGCATAGACTAACTTGTGTTTATAATATATTCATATATCTTATATATTTTTATGTATATTCTAGGTGCGAAAGAAAAGCCTAAGGGCATGACGTTCCAAAGTTTCCCCAAGTCGGTGACCGTACAAGACAAAGAAAGCGTCGAAATAGAATGCGAAATCCTCGGAAAACCTACAAACGGTAAGCGTAGACATGTTGACGTGTACAAAGCTGTATTATACTGCATTAACAGTATCCAACCGCTTTATGAAAAAAGGAGTTTGAGAAAAAGTCAAGCCCGACAAGTTTTCATATGGATGTAGTTTGATTCACTTTAAACGAAATCGCATTCATGGCTATAATAGAGCTTCACTTGAAGGTTGCTATTGTAATTTTTTTGGACCATGAAACCCATTACTTTGAAGTGCTGTACTAAGTGCCCCCATGTGTGAAACCAAGAAATATGAAAATAATTATTTTGTAAAGAGGAGGTGGAGATCAACTGACTAATATTTTTAAAAATTTAACAACCAAAAACTGATATCCGAGGACTCCACATCCGGTTATGCTGCCTACATCGTAAATAAATTTCGTTTAATATACTACCTCCAAGGCTACAAATGTTAATAATACAATAATGACATGTTACCTTTTAAATTATATTCAGAAAATTATAATTTCGTCCTGAAAAATGAATTTAACATCGCAACTTTTTTCAAAATGGTAAATCCTTTTAAAATGCCTTGACACACATAATTACTCCTTTTGATTCTCTAGCAAATGAGTCCTGCGTTAGTAATAATTTCCATTTTTCGATAAAGGTTCAATGACCATATAAGACCATATTTTACGTTATTGAAGATTTATTTATCAGTACTTACCTATTCAATGACTTATATGAAGGCAGTTTAGGCTGGCGGCTAAACCCTTTCCAAAAAAAAAACTGCGTATATTTTGGTTTGACAATTTACATCATAGTCTTATTGGCTTGACTGTTGTACTAAATAATTTCGTGTTTATGTAATACTATAGTTACATGGATTAAAGACAACGTTCCTATTGGCGAGGATTCAAGTATTTACCAATTTATGCAAGTTGACAATAAATACAAAATGAAAATACTCAGAGCCGGCCATGACGACATTGGTCAGTACGTAGTCGAAGCAAAGGATTCCAGTGGCGTACATGTCGCAGCCGCGTTTTCAGTCAATTTGTCATTCTTATCAGAATAGAGTGAGTATGTCTAGAGTAAAGATATTATTGACCAAACAAAATATTCATATCAATAATTCACCATTTACATTTTCTAAAAGTTTTGAGACTGGGACTACACCTTTGATTTTTTGTCAGTTTGACTTAGTATAGCATTAATGCATTATTATATTATTAAGTATTTAAATAGATATTGCTTAAAGCCCAACAATTGAATAAAATATGTTTAGAAGATATCTAAGCGTTCTCCTTGTTTTACTCAATAATTCGCATTTACATTGTACTTATTATATTTTAGTATTGATTTTTCTTATCAAACTTAAAAAATAATAATAATAAAAGGGGGAATCTGAATTTATTTATCTCTAATATTCTAATTCGAAAGGTAGATATTTAATTATTAAGTTTGTAGTTTCATTTTTAAATGGATGCGTTGAAGTTTGGCTCTTAATGTAGGTACCTAAGTATAACTAACTCTTCCAATTTATAAATTAAAATAATATAACAATCGATTACGATTTTGTTTCCATTTGAATCACAAAATAATATGTAAATGTATTGCACTCGTGTTAATTAAAATCAATTCATTTTCAGATTTCACATCATAATCAATGATCAAGATAATGAAACTACAGACCGTTGAAAAAACATTGTAGAACAAAATATAATATTTAAAATATCAAAAATGTATCGTTTTATCGAAGTTGTAAATTTCCATTATTTATGTACAGCAAATGTTATTTTACAATTATTTTTTTTTTTATCAAATAATATTAAAATCATTATTAACATTCACAATATACCTAATGCGTACAACTGCAGACGTGCAATTTACGCATATAGGTTTTATTAATTTATTAATTTAATAATATTATAACTATGATAAAATTATATATCATGTTATCATTTCGTGCTCCAAATGCTACTTATGTAAGTTTTTTTTTGCATAAAAAATACCACTTGTCTTTAAATATATCTCTAATAATTTGTAAATCGTATGTTATCGTTCGTTAAAATATGTATCTTATTATTTGTATGAACGTTCGAAATAAATCCAAGAAAAATGAAATCGCAGATGACACAAAAGTCGTAATAACAATAAATTTAGATCATACGAATATTAGAGAACCGTACTGTTCGTTTAGAAAATTTTTTTTTTTCGAATGCTAAATTGGCAACTCGTATGCTTTCATATAAAATTATTATTATATTATTATCGTTTAAGTATATGTTGTTTATTTTTATCCCATAGATTTGAGCTTTGATAGATACTCATATTATCAGCTATTAACTACCTATTAAATATTACGATGTTATAACATAAGTGTTTTATTTTAGTGTTTAATAATTTATTGTGTTATATTTATTTTAGGTTATAATATTGTTTTAATTAAAAATAACGTGTTGATCAATATCAATTAAGATTTCGTTAATTTTTTCCTCCAAATAATATCATCATAAATTATAGAACGTTACCCAAAAAAATGTGTACTTTATGTGAATTATTTTCATGTCACATATGGCAAGTATAACAGATTACTATAGCTTGTCAATTATCAGCTCATCCAAAAACTGCAGTTTTAAATAATGTATATTTTATCTTGACGACTATTTAATTATGTATAATATCATATTCATATTCGTACCTATAATAATATTATGTTAATAACCTAACTGAATAATAATTTTTAGTTAAGGCTAACAACATCTTAGATCCAATAATATGAAATGAGAATTCAATGGATATCGTTTAAACGTTTTAAAAATAAAGCTGATTCTTCGTGAATAACGACTGAAGCGTGTTAATATTATACTATAATAATAGTTACACACTCATTAAACCAATTACAATAGATTTATTAGATATTATACAATCCTGTACTATTCAAATGTAGTAGGTACGTTATAGAACGGTAATGCAGGATAAATATAAATAAAACGGTATTCCTGTAATTTATATAAGCCTAAACTGTGATGATAAAATTACTCGGAACACCAATTTAAATCTTTGTAGGAGACGCTCAAGTGTAACCTAGCTAGGGTACTTATTTTCTGTTGATTTTTTTGTATTGTGGCATCACCACATGAGGACTGAACCGTTTGCACTCCTAACCCTCAAAATCAAATATTTACAACATTGATTGCCCCAATGAAAGTTTGAACCCACTTTCAAGAGCACTAACTAGTTATGAAGGTTCAATCGGTTCAAAACTTTACATGATAAGCATAAAGGTGAATATAAGTTCCTACACGAGACCTAGCAGGTAAAAAGAATACTGTACCTACTATGTTAGTTCTTACACGGTAGAAAAATTATACATAATGTAAGTTTCTACTCCAATCGTTTACCTATCTGTTATTAATTGGAGTAGTCTGATAGTATGTACTAAGTATTTATATTTATTATTTTTATAGTAAAATGAATAAATAATATATATTATTTAATTGTCTATTTAAGCTATTAGGTATTTTATTTAAATGTAATTATTTTTTATAATATTATAATTTTCATAAAATATATTGAATGTAAACAAACTGATAATAATCCTACTATTCCCTTGGCATAGACTCAGTGGCGCCAACGGGGAGGGGGGACTTAGCCTCCCTGACCACGATTTGGTAACCCCAAAAATATATTTTTATTGATTTAGATATAAGACACACATGGGTTATTTTGATTTAATATTTTTGTTAGGTGTAGCTCCCCTCCCTCCAGAATGTAACCCTAGTTGCGCCTATGGCCATAATACAATAAGCGTTATCCGAAGTAGATGGTTGACGGAACGGGCCTTACCAGTTGCCAGTGGTGAGAAAGGCCAATTCTGAATCATTTCTAAATCATCCGTCTCTCAATGATAAATAAGTGTATAGTTACCTGCTTAATAGAAGGTTATTAGTGTTGAATAAGTAAATTAATTATTATGATACCACTGACGTCATAAAATACCATTTTTCTTCGAAATATGTATTAAGATCGATAGTTGGTAAATATAAATTAGATATTGTTCAAGTAATAGGCTATTAAACACCAAGTGGAGAATAGTTTTCCCTCCAATCAGTGTAAAATATTCGCTTCAATTCGTCGTTGAACGAATATTATATACAAATTTGAATACAACTGTATGTAATGGTGGCTAAATTGTTGAACTACGATAGAAATTCCTTGGGTACTCTTCGAGGGTATTAGGTATACAGTCAGAGCGAAATTCTAAATTAGATATTACCCGGGTGACTTCGCCTTTACGCATGACTCATTACTCTTCAAGGGTATAGATATACCATCAGTGCGAAATTCTAACTTAGATATAACCAGAATGGTTTCGCCTTTACTCATGAGTCATGACCTTTACTACTACTACTACTACTACTACTAATAATAATAATAATAATAATAATACTAGTAACGGTCTGTCACACCAATATAATACAATAATACAAACATTCAGAGGAATCTCTCCCGACGTGTTAAATTATGGAGCAGTATATTGGTATAATAATAGTAGTGATGACCAACCTATATAGGTATTATTTAGATGCGTTATTTCTTAGGTCAGGAGTCCAAATTTCTCTACATACCTATGACAATCATCAATATCACGACAAATTCATCCAGTAAGTTGTTTGATGGTAAAATATTTGTAAGCCAATTGATCGAGTCATTAGTTCGTATATTAAACAAAAATGTACATAATAAAAATGAATGTTATAAATAAATTTAAAAAAAAATAGGACAGATAGATAACTCTTTTAAACAAAAAGAAGCCACAGGTGTATTTTGACATTAGACATTTAGAAAAAAAATGCGAAACATTACGTTTGAGACGCTTATTTGAACAAAATTATACAACGTTGTTTGAGTAAAAATATAACTGCCATGATATAAAAAAAAACAAACAAACAAATAAACAAAATGTTAATAATAGTTTCGGAGATTCACTAGCGTCGCCGATGATGATGACGATGATCGATGACGACGGTGTTTTTATTAACATTGTGAAACATTTTGAAATAATTGTCCTCGGATCATTTTGTGTAGTTTATACTGTTATATTTTGAAGGTAGTGGTAGAAAGTCAATTTTTTTTTAAAAATGCATAAGACAATGTATGTATTATAGGAGTGTTGTAGTGTACAACGAAATTATTGTAGTCTGTCGCTCAGTTATCTATATTTTTCTACTTCGTTCACACACACGTAAACGCACTATATGTACACACTACACATTCACCCTCACTTTCTATCTTTGTCTGTCTCTCTCCCCCTTACCCACATTCACACCCAATCTCTCCTACACTTTCATCCCCCCCTCACATATCACCCACCATCTACCCCCGTGCTAATATACTTGGATTTCGTAACGTATCTGCTTCAGATACGTCTCGTCCATCATCCGCCGTTGGTTCAACCGTTCCACGCTGTACCGAAGTCCGTAGAACAGGTAAATCAATAAGCCAATGAACAGCCAGACAGTGAATCGTATCCAAGTGGATGTGTCCAGTTGAGTCATTAGGTAGATGTTAAGGACGACGCTAAGGCACGGAACGAATGGGACGCAAGGCACCTGAAATAAAGATGAAACACGTTGGCAACTAAATCTTAAAACGATTGGGTGAAAGGGCAATAATTAAGTCGATAGTATTATAAAAGAAAAATATCTCACCCAAACGTTAACTAAAAATATCTAGGCTGAATATTAATTCGACTGATTGTGTATATTAAGTCATTGTCCAATAAATATTTGTACAGATAAATATTTCAACTGACGATATTTTATACTACGAATACATTAGGATTCTTTGTGTACCTAAGAGCAGGTACAACTTTGCCAGGTTATTAATTTTAATAAATGACAACAACATTTTCATTTATTTTTAGGAAAACCTCAACATTTCGATTACAGTGTTAAATTAGATAGCCAAATATTTTTATTGAAAGTTAGATAAAAATATTTTATTAAACATTCCCTACTTAGTACTTCGCATTAAAATTATATCAAAAGTCTTATAATTTAATAAAACCCTTTTTCCTTAATACCAACCTAAGTTTTGTATGGATATCACTTTCGCTTAAATGATAATATTTAAAGATTTTTGTTTTTATGATATTAGAAAAAATTGAATATGTTAATTTATTCAAACTATATAATTATGATTCATTTCAATACCGATACATTTTATGTAGGTACCATGCATGAATTATTAGATTGTGTCTACTTAGTATTGTATTAAATATTTATGACTTTCCTACTCAGCGATTCAAAAAGTAATTTTTAATAAAAAAAATATAAACAATTATTAATATGCAAAATATTAGTACAAGTATTTGCTTACTTTTATTAATTATCTGAGTTTACACCGTTAATTTGTACTCATAAATATTTAACCATTAAGGGTATGCCATGTATGCGTACTGATTATGTACACTATCCAACACCACTCAGTACATAATATTTTTTAATAAAATTGTAAAATGTTAATCGTAATCAGAATTTATGAGATAACTTTATCTTTGATGTGGTGTTTTTACTTTTACCACAGTGGAAATACCTTTTAAATAGGTAATTAATTTGTACACATTCGTTAATTTTTAAGAATTTTGTTTAATAATTAAACTTATACGGAATTATTGAAACATAAAAACAAAGTCGATATATTAAAAAAATATATAGTTCCCTTCTATATCTACAAATATACATTGCGAATAATCCAATACTAAGTGATCGAATTAAGCGTGAGCGCAAGGAGACGCAGCTCCTCTTCAATTTTTTTTTTATACATTGAGAGGACTTCTTCTAACTATTAGAACGTTGGAGTGAAACGTTTTTCTTGTTAAAATAACATTGTAATTTTATGATTATTATTTAGTAAATAAATTTAAAATTTAGTTTAATGATTTTTTTTAGTATACCTATTACCTACATTGTGTAATAATATATTTTTGGACATAAATTCGGACCGCACACAATATTTTAGAATTTTATATGCACTCCTGTTAAGCTATCCATGTGCACCTATTTAGGGAATAGTGAGCCACTTATAACCCACTACCAAACTTTCTCATAAACATCCCTACCCACATCCTCTCCACCCTAAAAAATACTTCCCGAGAAGAAATAAAAAATAGTTCAAAATCATACATGCATCTTATAAATAAAGACATAGACAACAGACATGAAAACTATCTAGTGTTTTGTATAATGTATGTAATATAAATAATATATTATCTGATATTTTTTTTTACATTGTCACTAAGTGAAGAAATAAAATTTCGTTGTCCCGTTCATATGGTATCTACTTGCAAATCGGAAATAAATTCTCATTTATATTATGATGCCCCGATTTATCGAAAGGGATAAATCCTATATAGTTATACCGTACTTATACACGGATATGTATCTAGACCTAAGTAATTTCAGTGCATACTTTTCATTATATTATCCGTAGTGAAAGATACAATAACCATACCAGACAATATAATATTATAAAACCCGCCTTCGTCTCCATACGTCATGGTACACGACAACCAAGAATCAAAAACAATAAAATAATAAACTAATAAATAATTATATATAATTACGTGGAATGTAGGGCGATTTGTTGACTGTGGTTGTCGGGATAACGAATAGCAAAGCACCAACAAACACACACCGGAAACGCTGCATGCTGCATACGTGACCATGCTGAACTTTCCTTCAGCTTGGGCAATAGAGACAGACGAGCAGAAACATATGGACACGACGACTGATACAAAAAAAAAAAAGTCTGAATATAGATATCACAATATTAATAATTAACAATTTTATAAAAGGTAGAAAATAGTTTTTCTCTAATACGTATACAAAACTAATATATTATAATAATGAAGTTGTGTTCACTTTTACGTAAGTATTGGTGTTATTTAATTGATCAATAAAGATTGAAAAGTGTCCTTGGTGCAAATTAGTATTATTATTTTAATTTTTCATATAATAATAAATAATTATTACAAAAAAAAACATTATTCTCAGCAGAACTCGACTTAATACTATTATAGGGATCACAACAAATTAAATGTTCATTCAGTAAATAAAAAAAAAGTATGTTTAGTATATTCTTAGTATATATTTTCTTAATTTTTATTTTAACCCCATACATTTAGGCTTTCGACATTTGAACAATTACATCTTTAGAAGACAAATTCAATGCACAATTATTGTAATATAAGGATTTTCTGTATACAGTCATCTGCGCTTTAGTATTTACCAATAAAATGCAACGGGAAAAAAATTGTTAAATTTCAAACAAGGAAATACGTGAAATTATATTTTGTAAACATAATATTATGGTGTCACTCAAAAAATAAACATTTTCGAGGAGCAGTCGGCTATCTGGAAATTACCCCTCGACCGCCCACTGCAGATTTTATCTTCGGGTGGATAAATATGACAAACACGATTAGTTTTAAGTCTAATCGTCTACACGTTTATTTGTGATGTTAATACCCGGAATTCACGATTACTTCATCAGGAGGTCAATTTTGACGTAAATCACGTTGGCGGATAAACCAATAGAATTTTTTTAACAACATTTTTTACAACTCATACATTGACATTAACATGGTGTCAAGTATTATGTGTAGGTTTCACAATTTGACTAACAATTATTAATTATTATTTAAATTCTGGGCGTGGCAAGTGTGTTGGATACGCAAAGAATTCACAAATAGAAAATTAATTAAATTATTATTATTATTATATTTTTTAAAGGATATTAAATTGAAAAATGCAAAATTTAACCATCCCATGAAAAACAAATTCACCGATTTTTCGGGATTAAACATTTTAAAACATTAATTCTTAATGATTCCTAAATAAAAATTAAAAATTATAATGTGTACAGCTAAAAGTAGTTTTTAAAATATGTATCTAATTATAAAGCGTGCTGGAAAACGGTCACTTTGATTTGCCTAAATAGTATGATATAAATTTTGTCGAGCAACGACTTCGTGATCGTAAAATAAATTTGAACTCAATCGACCAACAGATACTTACGGTAAACCAGAATAATTATGATGGAGGTACGACTAGTGTTTTTTGTTGTAATCTGCGACTTTGGGAGATTGAAACTGGATGATAATAGTCTCATGAGGGATACACGAAACCTGCCATTGTCTCTGACCTTACACTCTTCGGAATCATCGTTAGTGTACCGCAAAATCAGAACACAAATACACACGAGCGAGTACGCCATCAATGTACCGATAGACATCATATTCATTAACTGCTGAAGGTCGAAAAGACTGGACAAAATCGCTAAACATACGATTTATATTTATTTCATATTACTTCAACTTTATTATTATATTACATCAAATATGTTATAATATTATAGGTAGGTACAGAAATTGTACAGAAAAAATTGATGTTATACGAACGGTATTAGATTTAGTTATTCAAATGATGATAATTTTATTCAATTATTGTCTTTGCTGAACTACAAAATTATATTTGAATAAAATATTAAAGTTAAAAGTATTGAATTTTGATTGAAAATAAAAAATTCAGCCCTTTTTGTTTAGATGGAAATTTAGTAAAGTTGCAAGTATGTTGCAATGAAACTTATAATGTTGATATAATAATAAATGAATTTACCAATAATTATCTTAATTTGAAAAACTATAAAATCAAAATGTTTGGAAGATAGGAACTTTATAAACAAATTATTTTAATGTTAAGATATCTCGTTTTGATTATTGTGAAATAACTATAATATTATATTATGACAAAGCGCATACGTATATATTGTGTATACATTTTATTTGTACTCGTACTTACCAGCAAAAGCTCCACATATAAAAGTACCCCAAAATGGAGTTTTTGTCTTGGAATCAACTTTAGAAAAAATGTGGAACAATAATCCGTCAGATGCCATGGAGTACAATATTCTGGGTAACGGGAACAGTGTACCGATCATACTAAAAACAAAATTTAATTTCATTGCTTTCAAAATGTCAATTTTATTATTATCCGTTTGGTATAATATATTATATTGGTATGTGTTATATATATAAATATATTATATATGAGACGTGGAATTATTGATATTGGTACGTATTCACTATTCTGCAGGTGGGTATTGATAAAAAAATAATCGCCAGTCTATACTGATGAGTGGGCTTATCTTTTTTATTGAAAGTATTCTATACAAATTTCAAACCACGCTGAAATGTTGACATGTGCATACGAAACATTACAAGGCTGGGCATTAATTCGTTAGTAAGTTTAAGTTAAGTTATTATTATAATTAACTTCATTATTAACTTAAGGAGTATCAAGCATTAACTTTTAATCAACTTAATTCTACACTTAAACAAGTTGATTTAAATTATTATAACTTCATATTTTCGTATAAAATATTATAAGCACCTATGATAATTATTACGACTGAAGTACGTTTGTCGTTTATACAAATGAATACGCTACGTCACTAGATACTATTTTTTTATTAACTTAACTTTAATTTAAAAGTTAATATTAAAGTTTGGTCGACTTCTAACTTAATTATATTAATAAACAATTTTAAACTAACTTTTAATTATTAACTTTATTTAGATTTTAATTAAACTTAACTTAACCGGGTAAAAAATATCATTAACCTGCCCAGCCTTGCGAATCAACGACCACCTGAGGTTTTTGCAATCAGCGCCACGGTCTCTTCTCCCACGCACGTGCCATGTTTAATTCGTACAGTTTTAAGACCATATCATATCGAATATACGTGTACCTTCTTATTTTGCATGCGTGTCATATAAGTCAGTATAATATATTGATATATTAATGTATTATACTATACTAGCTAGTTGTTTTGATGAATGTTATTAGATAGTTATGTACCTAGGTATACATTACAGTTAATGCATTGCGTACTGGTCATACTGTTAGGTATAACTTACAAATCATGTAGGCTAAAATGCGAAGTGGCACATAAATAATATTAATATAACTACTTATAACTACTTTTGAGAAAAAAAAATATTAGTTTTGACTAACGTAAATAGCTTTTGTACATACTTTGTGCATAAAGCAAACACTGCTCCGATTGTAACGATCCATTCGAGCGCATGCCATCCCATCTGTTGGTATATATGTGGGAAGGGAGCTTCCGGATCCTTGTATAAAAAAAGTAAAACGAATATTGAAACGTTATGAACGTTAAATGTCCAACGGTTAAAAAATCCGTTGTTAAAAACCAACAAATTGGACAAAGAATCCAAATTTAAAAAAATAATAATAATATATATATTGACTTGTTATTTTAGCAAAGGATATTTTGTCCTTGGATATTTCCCAATAGGAACTCGTTATGATTATATAACTTGGATAAGTTTAGTAAATTTGATAGAAAAAAAGTAAAAGTTCAATCTCCAGTACCGTTTAATTATGTACGTCCAGACAGTTTTTTTTATTTATTATGTTCCGACGGTAAACATTGAAAATGTTCTAAAAATAAAACTACAATAGTGATATATCCTAATTGGATATTTTATTTGTAAACGTAATATAACTACTAATTTTATAAAAAAAAAAACCATACAAAACCAATTACTGAAATTTTGATTTGTTTATTTACACTTAAACTTGCCGTCTATAAAATTTTTAAATTGTTTTTATATACCTTGACAAATTATCTAACTATATTGGTATAAAAAAAATAAAACTATAAAATAACTACAATTACATTGATTAAAGACCTACCTAAAACGTTCAAAAACAAATTATTTTTTGATAAAAATTACGAGTTTTATTAAAAGTAGGTATATGCATATTTTCTAGAACATGGAGAAAATATAGAATAACATCAAAATAATGTCTTGCGAATATTAAGAAAAAAATTAACTCATATTTTAACGAATCTATTCACGAAATCTTCTTACTCCGAAGATCGAAACTCTTAAAATTTAGACCATTGCGTTTGAATAAAAACTCATAAAACCCTTGCTGAGAACAAATAAAGTTAATAAAAATTGGTAAACTGAATAATTTCTCAAATTACACTGAAATTCGAATATTATCATACAGAATATTTTAACGTTGGACCAGTAATTTATACCAAGAAATAGTTTCAATATATGTAACCTTCGTGTTCTTTTCCGTATACATTCTGTAACTTTTAATATTTCTAACATTCATCTAAACGTCAACTTCAATAACTTGTTTGGGTCAGTATATGAATTCAATTCGGTGTACTGCTGAATCGGAAGAAAAATTCCTACCATTTAGGTTTTATTTTTTAGAACCCTTAGTGAAACTCATAAAGTAGAGAAAAAATTGATAAAAAAAACATCAAAGTCACAGTATTCTAACATCATTCAACCGTATTTTGAAATCAAATGTGCGTGTACAATTTTTAAAAGTAGCCATGCATAAAGATTTTCTCTGGTCTATTATAATTTATCAACAAAATAAACATAATAAAACTTAAATAAACTACAGAGAAAACAAGACTCCAAAACTAAATATTTCGTAATAAATCCATTCAAAGTCGTTGAATAGTTTTATTTTTGTCAACAATTTAATAACAATACAGTACCTATTATAATTTTATTTTTTGTATTAAAACAATTAGTAGATTGAATTAACTCTCTAAAAACTTTAACACTTCTAACCGAATACCAAAATAAATGAATTACAACTAAAACGACTATCTGACTAACAGACATTAAATTTATTAATTTAATATTTTAAAACGCTGTCACTTTACTATCAAATGGCCATATATTTACTTTAAAAAAGTACCTATATAATCGATTTTATTGTATAAGGTAGTTATCAGGTATGAGGGGTGGATTGCCCCACTGGGAATTCGGAAGTTTTCCCGATGGACTATCCCGTATAAATAAACTGTTTTCGATTTTTTCCTAATTATTGTTAGATGTGTTTAATCACTCAAAAATAAATTTTTTTATAAGAAACAGAAAATAAAAAAAATGACCATCTCGAACAAATTTTAATTGTTGAACACAACTTACTTGTCAATTAGTGAATAGTGAATTGTATGCACAGTTTAGTGTACATACTATATAGTATATACTGTATATTATCTACTAATATACCCGCTAGTATCATATAATTGAATAATACATTTTATTGTTTTCAATAATTTGTAAATTCTATTAATTATTTTTTATGTAATACATATTTCAGTGATCGTATATGAGTATCATATCTAATTAGATAATGCGTTTGATGCTCAGCGTGTGATTAGTGTGATTAGATACTCAATTGTTAATAGAGAATAAAACAATTCTTCAAATACTACTACATCGGTCCCGAATTGTTGGAATAAAAATTGAGTTAAATACTCATATTATTTATGACTAGTCAGCAGATAATATTTAAACACACTTATGAAGTTATGGACATATTATTCGTTAAGTAAAAATTAAATTAAATTAAGTTCCCATATGGTAAACATTATATATATTAGCCTTTAGGCCATTTCTGAAACTCTGAAGATATTAAATATTGATTATAATGATATTATTTTATATAAATAATTTTTTAAGCAAATAATTTAACTCAAAGACAAAACAGTTAATATTAAGAAATGTATCCATCAAGAGATAGATAACAACGACTGTGCGCCGATCCATTTACAATATCTCCCCGCAACTAAATATATATTTTACCAATCCACCCCTGGTAGGTAATATTAAGGAAGGGTACTTTAATTAGACGTCTCTCACTCTTCGAGTCCTCAAGTTGATCAACATTTATGAATTAAAATTTAGAGCATATTCAAGCCGTCCAGAATTCGACACCTGAATATTAGGTATCTCAGCTTTAAATTTTCACTCTACATATTATAACCATATATACACCAATATAATAATACACAGTTTTAAAAAAAAGTTATGAATATCTGCCGTATGTATTATATTATATAAGTGTTGATTAACTGCAGTAGGTACTTAGACTAATAAGGAGTTGATTGTTAAACAATATCGGTAATGACGAATTTGACGTTCTATTTAATGTACTTGCCGAGTACCGATGATAACAAGGAAAACTGAATAATATTATTTCAATTTATTATGGTTATCGTAAAATTCAACAGTACATTTGACTTCTTTGTTTCAATTATTGGCAAACAAAACATGTTTTATCATGTTTGATGAACGTCATTGATTTCTTGTAGTTCAAAAATTGCGAACGCGTGAGAAAATTAAAACGTAGGTATTGAATTATGCAAACACTGTGATTTGTCAACCATGGGTAAAACTGCTCCATGCCCAAAATAATTCTTGCTACCAATTTAAGACTTAAAAATAATGGAACTGCTCTGGTCACCAAAAATGCATTATACAATTACGTGATGATTATAGTTGTTTTAAATTGTATATTTCGTCAAATCAAAACAGACCTTCTGATAATATTACTATAAATTATTTTTTTTTTTTTTTTTATTGATCTTAAGCTTCGGCAACTGAGGCCATTAGCTGTAGTAGGATTTGTATTGTAGGTTTGTATTGTATATTTTGGGACGGTAGGGGGGAACACGTGTGTGTTTGTTTTTGGCAGAATTTCGAATGGGGCACCCGTAGGTTTCTGCCATGCCCCGGGGGTGGGGGATGGCAGCACTTGTTCTCCGGTCACCGCGACTTGTCC